CCATCCATCTGCCTGAAAAATTCATGATGCCATTGATTTTTTATGGCTGAGTAATACTCCATTGTGTAAATGTTTCGCATTTTCTTTATCCATTCGTCGGTTGAGGGACACTAGATTGCTTCTAGTTTCTAGTTATTATGAATAAAATTCCTATGAACATATTTGAGCAAATGTCCTTGTTATATGGTGGAGCATCTTTTGCATATATGCCCAGGAGTGGTATAAGTGAGTCTTGAGGTAGAACTATTCCCAGTTTTCTGAGAGAGCAGCAAATTGATTTCCAAAGTGGTTGTACAAGTTTGCACTCACACCAGCAATGAAGGAGTGTTTCCCTTGCTCCACATTCTCACCAGCATGAGATGTCACTTGAGTTTTGGATATCTGCACGTAAAAGAATGCAAATAGAGCTGTATATATCCCCCTGCATAAAACTCAAGTCAAAATGGATCAAAGACCTCAACATAAAACCAGATACACTAAATCTGGTAGAAGAGGAAGTACCGTATAGCCTTGAATGCATTGGCACAAAAGACAACTTCCTGAACAGAACAGCAACAGCTCAGGCACTAAAATCAACAATTAATAAGTGAGACCTCATGAAATTTAAAAAAACTTCTGTAAGGCAAGGACACCATCAAAAGGACAAAACAGCAGTGTACAGATTAGGAAAATATTTTTTAACAATTCCACGTATGACAGAGGACTGACATCCAAAATATATAAAGAACTCAAGAAACTAGACATCAACAAACCAAACAATCCAATTTAAAAATGTGGTAGAGGTCTAAAACAGAGAGTCCTTGACAGGAATTTCTAATGGCTGAGAAGTATTTACAGAAATGTTCAACATCCGTAGTCATCAGGGAAATGCAAATCAAAACTACTCTGAGATCCCATCTTACACACATCAGAACAGCTAAGTTCAAAAACTCAAAAAGAGTTTTTACTGTTAAAGTGCTTCCTATGAAAACACGAGGATCTGCGTTCAGTCCTCAGAACCCATCATGCCAGGCATGGCAGGATATTCATATTTCAGTACTGGGGAGGCAGAGACAGGTGAATTCCTGGGACTCTCTTGCCAGCCAGTCTAGCTAAAATGGCAAGCTCCAGCTTCTGTGATAAACTCTGACTCAGAAAATAAGGCGGAGAGCAACCGACGAAGACACCTGACTTCAACCTCTGGCCCTTGTATTCATGTACACACACACATGTACATACACATCCATACACATATACACTCAAAGTTTACCAGAAAGTTCCAACCTATGGTTGTGTTTTGTTCATGTATATGCATATGTATTATGTGTATGCTAGCAGGGAGAGGACTTTCTGTAGGTAATTACTAAGGAGAATTTGAAAATTACTTGGACAGAACAGCAGGTCACAATGATGGTTTAAGTAGGAAGAGCAGGCAGGTGGAGGCCTCAGCTGCACAGTTGTGTCAGAATTACGACAGGAAGGCTCAGCATGGCTCAGCTGTAATGCAGAGGCACACTTCAGTATGGATTGCCCTCTCCCCAGTTTCTCCACACCTCCCCCAAAGGCTCTGGTTTTTGCAGAGGGGTGAACCTGGGCTGCTCCTGGGAGTCCCAGTGAGCTCTCCAAATCATCCCTGTTGTAATGGCCCATCGCGTCATTTCCAATCCATTTCTAGAGATGCTTTTAAAGTCTATTTCTGTGACTGTTTTGATCCATAAAAGCCTCCAGGGCCTAAAAGGGCACATGAAAAGCAAGGGGGAGAGAGGCACAAATGACAGCCTACGTAGAAAAGCCACAAGTAGAACATTACAGATAGCTTTGATCCAACTGTCTGACGGGATTTGGCAACTGGAAGGGAGATAGTTGAAGAAGGAGATTTCATACCCATTGTGACACTCCGAAAGATTTACAGTCATTTTAAGCTCAGGCCTGACATTCTACACCTCGTCCATTATCCCTAGCAGAGTGAAATCCCTTTTACAAGGTTTCTAGGTATAGACCTAATTGCAGTGGTTCCCCCCCCCTTTTCTTTTATTATTGAAAGTTGGAGCTGAAGCTAGCATGCTGGTTATAGAAATTCACACAGTAGTGGGTCTGTTTTATGGACAGAAGAGCCTTGATTAGCCACACTCAAGTTCATTCATCTAATTCACCAAGATGCATTACTGCTTCTATGATGCTACTGCCTCTAAGACTTCCATTGATATTATGTCTCATATATTTCTGCATAGATGTCTTAGGGTTTCTATTACTATGATAAAACACCATGACCAAAAGCAACTTGGGGATGACTGGGTTAATTCTGTCTTGTAACGTGTAGTTCATAACGCAGGTAAGTCAGTTCAGGAACTCAAGGCAAGAACCTGGAGGTAGGAACCGAAGCAGAGGTCACAGAAGAACGCTGCTTACTGGCTTATTCCCTCGTGGCTTGCTCATCAGCCTGCTTTTTTACAGCACCTAGAACCAGGGGTTGTACCACCCACGGTGTCCGGGACCCTCACGTATCAATCACTAATTGAGAAAATGAACTACAGACTTGCCTACAGACCAATCTTTTGGAGGTATCTTCTCAATTGATAGTCCCTATTCCCAAGAGAAAAAAAAAACAAAACAACAACAACAACAAAACCCAACTAGCCAGCACAACAGGAAACTGCCACAAAGACGTGTTGGCTTAAAATAGTACTCGTTTAGTTTATTCTCAAATCTGAAGTTTGGGCGGAGTTTGGGAGGGATGTATTGTGTCCTCTTTATGTAGCATGAGCTGTGCTGTCCTAAAAAGAACAGGATGGTTGACATACTTCCTAGGTAGCCCCTGCCATGGTTAATATGCTGAATGAACCAAGTATGCATTAACAGCTTGATCTCTGGAATGATATTATTGGGAGGAGGAGCCTGCTGGGAAGCTATCAGGTCATTGCACATATGTCCCAAAGGGGGATAACTGACTCTTTCTCCTTTTTTCTTTTCTTTTCTTCCTTGATTTAGGACAGAACCAGTTTTGACCCTTCAGATGTTACCATCTTACCACAGGCCCAAACTGATGGGCCCAGTCAGTCGTGGACTGGAATCTCCACAACTGTGAGCCAAAATGAATCTTTTTTTTTTTTTTAGTAAATTCATTATATTTGGTATTTTACTATCGTGATTGAAAGTTTATTAACACCCATTCACACAACAGCCAGGTCAATGCCTACCAGGCGGGAACTCAGCTAGGCCTGTGGGGCTTAGTTCTCAATTCCTTGCCAAGCGGTTTCTTCACTTATACTTGGGCTTTGCTGTGGAGTCTCTGAGAGAGAGAGAGAGAGAGAGAGAGAGAGAGAGAGAGAGAGGAGAGAGAGGAGAGAGAGAAGAGAGAGAAGAGTGTCCTAGTGAAGAAGATATGATTTTGTGACCTAGTCTTGGAATCCAGGAATCATTTCTGTCATACTCTTTCAGTCAAAGTAGTCAAAGTTCTACACAGGCTTAAGAAGGGGAGACACAGACCCCCACCTACTGATGAAAGAACGCCATGTCCTAAAAGTGCATGTGGTATAGGAGGTATTGGCGCAACCATCTTTGGAGACTATAGTCGGTCACAGATATTGAAGGAGCAGTTACCTCTGAGGACTTACAATACACTCATTAGGATAGATGTGCATATGAGTATGAGGTGCCGGCAATAATACGCATCAAAACAGATGTTTGCACTTACATCTGAGGTGATATGAAGTGCACAGGCTATAGAAGAACCTTTGTTTCCCTGACTTCATATCTTCATGAAGGCATTTTTTTCAGGCGTACTATTAATAGACAAATATACCAAAGAATAAATAACTTCTAACCTCTCATTCTGACTCCTTCATCCTTTCCTCCTCAGGTGTCAAGGCCACCATTTTGAAATTTTCCCTTGCATTTTTCTCTCTTGATGCAAATAATGGATAGTTGTGTTCTATGAATTCATACTGAAAGAAAACAATGTAGATTCAGGCTCAGCAGGCTCATATCTTCCAAACCCAGCAATATCTAGCTGTTACATCAGAGTCCTGCAGATCCCTAGATAAGAAAGAAAAGACAAGGTTTGCCAACTTCTTTAATCCCCTCTTGTATGTAACAAGGCAGATGCATGCCGTGCTGTGCTACAGTTGGCTCTTTGATACTGCCCAGTTGGTTAAGAACCCAGATCCCATAAAGTATAGTTATTACTCATATGTCTCCCAGCTATAGCTCAAAATCACTCTCTCATAAACATGGTAGTGTTTAGGAATGTCCACAGTCAAGATTATACTGCATTCCCTGGGTACGAAAAGGCAACAGGGTATTTAAGAAAGAATTTGGGAGGCTTGCCTAAGGGCATCGAGAAAATGGGTGTGTCTGATCTGTTGGTGTGTTGACCAGAAGATGCCAGATATCTGCAGCATGCTGTCACCATTTCCCATGGACCTCCCAAGCCACTTAAGCTAGGTGTCTAAAACCAACTGCCATTATTGATGCTGACATCAGGCTGCATGTCCTCCTGACCCACAGCTAGAACATAGAGTACCTAGGGAGTTCAGCTTCTTATTCTTCCCCTCTTCTGCCTGGGGCACATGGACAGAAAAGGCATCTTCAGCTTCTTCCACTGACTCTATAGCCTTTGAAGAAGCCTGGTCTATTCCTAGTTGGCATCTATCATGCTGTGTTAAATGCCCACCGTGCTGGGTACTGGGCCAGAAATTGGGCATGTGGTTCTCAATAAAACATCTCATCCTTAACTTTGTAGACTTTAAGACTCAAATGAAAGAAGAAAGACAAGAAACGGGAAAAAATGAAATGTATAATTACAACCGTGACAAATGATTTGAAAGAACTAACCAGGTGTAGAGAGATAGGTAAAGCATGTGAGGAATCCATTAAAAGAACATCACATACTGTGTTACTCCAGCTACCTTTTTGTAGGGCTATAGCCCTATTTTGCTCATGCCAAATACTGAATAATGAAGGTGACAACAACAGTAAAAATAGCAGTGGTGTCTTCAGGCTCAGACTTTAGTTCTGTCATCATGGCTAAATGCACCAAGAAAATTGGGATCGTTGGGAAATATGGGACCCGCTATGGTACCTCCCTCCAGAAGATGGTGAAAAAGATTGTAATCAGCCAGCACACCAAGTGTACTTGCTCCTTCTGTGGCAAGACCAGGGTGAAGAGATTTGGAAGGGGTTACTTTAGCTTATGGTTTCAAAAGTTTCCAACTGTCATGGTGAGGAAGGCATGACAAAGTGGATGATGGCCAGAAACTGTGGCTGAGACTCCCAATATAAAGGAGAACCAAGCAGCACGTCGGAACGAGGGTCAGCTGTAACTTTCAAAGGCTCATCTTTAGTGACCTCTACTTCCTAAAGGTTACAGCCTCCCCAGATGTAACCATCCCCTCAGGGAAGAAACACGCAAAATGTGAACTTGTTTGGAGGAACGTTTTAGATTCAAACCAGAGCACACATTTAATATGAGTTGTTGTTCATGGCCTCATAGTACCATAATTTAAGGCTGGCATTTTCAGTATCATGCATAAATGCGACCTTGATCAACCCTATCAAGATTTCACGGGCAAGTGGGAATGGGAACAGGAGGGGTCACTTATGAAAGAATAGAGGGAGAGCATGCTGGGGGAGGAAAGTGCAGCTGGGGCCATTTCAGGAGCAGAGCAGAAACTAGTGCAATGAAAACTCCAAGGAGGCTCTCAGGGTGGCCTAGCGAAGGCTCTTAATAATGGGGGACATGGAGCCTGAATCAGCTATCCTCTGTAACCAGACAAGGCCTCAAGTGAAGGGGTACAGACTCCAAACCAGCCACAAAACCTCCTACCTACAGTCTATCATGCCTGCAGGATGTGCTGGGGCTAGAGCCTAGCATAATCGTCATCAGAGGGACCAGAGAGACTTCATATGGCAACTGATGGGAGCAGCTGCAGAGTCCCACAACCACATATTAGGTGAGGCTCAGGGAGTCCTTCAGAGAAGAGGGGGAAAGAGTGCAGAAAAAAATAAGGACACCATAAGAACATGGCCTCAGAATTGACTGACCAGGACTCAAGTGGGCTCACAGAGATCAGGGAGCCTGTAAGGGCCTAACCTAGGTCCTCTGCGTCTATAGTGTAGTTGTGTAGCTCCGTGCTCTTGTGGCACTACTAAAAGTGGGAACAGGGACTGTTCCCACTGACTCATTAGCCTGCTTGGGAGACCCTGTTCCTCCTACTGGGCTGGCTTGTCTAGCCTTGATGTGAGAATATGTGCCGGATCTTACTGTAGCATGTTATGCCGTGTTTGGTTGATGTCCCTGGAAGGCCTGCTTTATTCTGTAGGGAAGTGAAGAGGGAGTGGATCCAGGAGAAAGGGGAGGTCTTGTTTAGCTATGGACTCTCTGTGCAACAATAGTGACCAAGCAGGCAAGTGATGAGCCCTCTAGGACAACAGCAGCAAGTCTATTACGGAAGTAACCATCTTCTTTCTCATTGGATCTGCTGTTACGCCACGGGAGGAAATTCAGGTCTGGCACTGTAAACTCAGTCAAACCCCACTCCAGTGAACGAGGAGGTCGTGGATTCTAGAGGAAAGTTACTGCCTCTGTTTAGCTAAGTAGACATGAGGTGCCCATCAAACTGCTCTTTGAATAACTTCTCGCGCCCGAAAGGTCATGCTGCTGTCAGCTTTGCTTGGCGAAACCTCCATGTAGCTGTAAGAAGTGACTGCATAGATACACAGCTTCTCAAAGAACTGAGAATAGGTGACTGCTGGATAGCCAGCCGCAAATGGAACATCGATATCAATCCATTCAAGGTCCAGGGAACATCATGGGAGAAAGGCCAGCATGACAGTAAGGGCTGGGGAAAGAGAGGAAGCAGTGTGCGATGCTGACCTCCAGGCATGCCATGACAGCTGTGCAACTGAACTCATAACAGCAGAGTTTACCTGCCCAAGATTGGTCCCATTGACGCCCTGTCAAGGAAAGGCTCATATGGGGCCCATCACTCTCTGAGAATCTATACGCAATTAAAGAGTGATGGAGAGGAAGACATAGTATCTTCGGTGGTAGTAACTGGTAAGGTGTTTATGCTCCTGTGAAAAACCTAATGAAATCGAGTCACACATGTGCGTGTACACACACACACATGCACTCATGCGTATGCACAGAAAGGTAGAAAGGGAGCGAGCTTGTAGAACGATGGGGGTTAGTGGGGAGAAAGGATAATGGACAGGTCTGTGATTGAAACGCATATATACACGTATGAAAATCTTAGCATGATACACATTATTGTTACATATAGTTAAACATATGCCAGTAAAAACCATTACTAAAGAATCTACTCTGACCACGATTCAGCTGGAAAGAAAAGTAAATACTGCAAAGGTAGGGAAAATAAAATTCAGTTTGGAGACAAGAAAATCCCACAGAAGGGATAAACTTGACTAGTCTTGTTTTTCCAGCACATTTTAGGAGGTAAACTCTTTTGTAGAAGAAATATTACCATTGGGAAATCACACCACATAAAACTATAAAAAGATGAGGAATCTGGGCCTTCTCTTCTCCAGAGTCTACTCTACCCTTCTCTTAGGGACACAGGCCAGCAACCCGGAACCTTAAAGCTCTACATAGCTCAGTTTTAGACACTGTACGTATAAGGAGAAATTGTGATAGCAGATTGATTGTGATTCAATCACAATTGTGGTGCAGTCATAGTAAGTTGGTTTGGCAATGATGTAAAAATGAATTAAAAAAAATAAACTTGGAGAGAGTCTTGCAGATTGTTGCCTGACTGAGGTGATAATAATGTTCTCATTTGGATTCATGTTCCAATAATAAGAAAGCTCTTGTAAACATTATCTCCCATAACAAACACCCTGTATGATATCTAAGGAGACTGGGATGGCCTGTTACAGGAATCATATGGAAATTAAGAAACAGAGTTTAGTTTATATTACAAGATAAGTTCTTTATTTCTAAAGTTGTAGTTTTTAGGTGTGGACAGGAACATGGGATAGAGACAGTAGTTCTCCATTTGTGGTTTCATTGTTGTTTCAGTTATCCATGGCTCCAAAATATTAAATGGGAATTTTAAGAAGCAAATAAATGTAATTTTGAAACTGCATGCCATTTGAATAGGTTGGTGAAATCTACACACTATACTTCTCAGTTCCACTTGATATGAATAATCCTTTTTGCCCGAATGTCTCCATGGTATGGGCCACCTGCCTGTTAGTTACTCAGTAGCCATCTTACTTACCAAATGAATTTGTTCATTATATCAGTGATTATATTCACAAAGCATAAGAATAGTAACACTGGCAATTAAAATATAACCAAGAGATGTCATGGAGTGTTTGCTTTAAGGGAGACTGTGAAAATGATCCACTTTATAAGAAAAAAAAATACAGTACAATACGATATTGCTATAACTGTTTTATTTCCTTGTTGGCTGTTGTCGTGAACCTCTTGTTGTATCAGGTGTAAAAATTAAATTCCATCACAGGTATAGATATTTATAGGAAAACCAAAATGTATACAAGAATCTGCACTGTCTGTGGCTTCAGGCATCAACAGGAATCCTAGAATCCCCAAGACACAAGGGGAGACAACTGTATTATGAGGCTTCATTCTGCTTTTCATTCTGACCACAGTCCCTGTGCCACTGAATCTGTTAGCTTTACCATTCTTCCAGTTTTTGCAATATTATTATATGATTGTATTATTATTATTATTATTAACAGAAATAATGACTCATCTTTCCTTCATTCTGGTACCTACCTTTTTTTTTTCTGACATCCATCAAATTTTGTGAGTTGTATTTTCAAAGTATATCCAGGGTGCCATCACTTCTCAGCATTTTTGCTGCCATCATCTTAGTCCAAGACAACACCATTTGTTGTCTGGATTCTCCTGCCATTTTCTGCCCTTCCCCTTTTTCTGCTTACTTGAAGTCTATCCTCAACACAGCACCCAGAATAATCCCACTAAAATGTTAGATATTAGACTTTCTCTCCTTAAAGCACTAGAATTAGTTATTATCTCAAGAACAAAAATCAACGGGCTGGGCTAGAGAGATGGCTCAGTGGTTAAGAGCAATGGCTGCTCTTCCAGAGGTCCTGAGTTCAATTCCGACCATCCACATTGTGGCTTACAACCATCTCTAATGTGATCTGAAGCCCTCTTTTGGCATGAGGTGTATATGCAGATAGAGCACTCATATACATAAATAAAACTTTTTTAAAAAGAAAGAAAGAGGAAAAAAATCCAAGGTACTTCTTATTCTAAGTGCAGTATGTGCTTCTGTGTGTACCCTGACTGATTCACTTATTCTATTGTATGAAAATAACTTCTTTGGTAATCCATTTCTTAATTTATGAACTTTTTGGAGGATCTCTTGGTTGGTTTGCTGTTACAAATAATGCTGCCATGATAGAAAATGCTAAGGGAAATTCTTGAGGATTATAAAAATAAACAATAAAAGGTATAGATTCAGAAATATGGGAAGGAAGGAGTAACTCCTCCCTTTATGGTCAAGACTGCATCTACAAATCGTCTAATAGTGTAAGTAAAACTATTTGCTTGTGTACATTTTCCTGGGGTGAAGTAGTACTCATAATTTTCTCTAGATCCTTTAAGATGTCCATGATTTAAAACCAGTGTAGACAAAAAAATAAAAAAAAAATTCTAGGTGGTCTGTGTATGTTTGACTTATGAGCTTTCTTTCTTTCTTTTTTTTTAATACATCAAATATTTTAACTCTGTGTTAAGGTATTAGGGGTGATTGGGGTGGTGGTAATTCTTTCTATTCACTCTGTGTACCTAGGTTTTATTTCCCTTGAATGTCTACCCATCTGACATGACAGCTTTTATCTTAAAAGAAATGAGGTGCAAGGCTCTCTATTTCTATCTGATGCATAAATAAAGAGCAAGGCCAAGATGTTCAGAGTCAAAAGTCACATTTTAAGTTGGACAGTGACATATTTCCTGGCCTCACAGCATCACTGCAAAAGCTTTCAAGTTCAAAGAGCAGCCACCTACACAACGTGAATCTCCATGTTTATTTTGGCCCCCTCTGTCTTGCTCACTCTCACCCACAAAATACACTTCCAAATTCCAGGGCATTTAGGAAGAAAAGAAAAGAGCAAGCAAAGCTACTTTGATAATATATAAAAGAATAAAGATGCCCGAATCCACCAGAGGCTAAAATAATTAACACTTTCTAATGGTCGTACGAAA